TGGTCTACATAGTGAGTTCTAGGCCAGCTGGGGCTACAGGGAGACCCTGTCTCAAAAGGACCAACCCCCCCCCCCAAAAAAGAGGGCAGAAGGCTGGGGTTATAGCTCAGAAGCAGCATACAGTGAGGCCCTGAATAAAGCCCTGCCATAGTAAAAAAAGAAAAAAAAAATGTGGAGAGAGAGCACCATGACCCTAGGCTGCTACCATCTCAGGTCTAGGGTAGGGTGGACTGTTGTTCTGGGCAAGGAAAGGAGAGGAACCACATCCAAATGGACCCAGACCAACAAAGCAGGTTTTAGTTTCTGACTTCAGACTATAAGTCATTTGTTTGTTTTTTGAGATAGAGTCTGCTGTAGTCCAAGCTGCCCTTGACCTCACTATGTAGCAGAAGCTAGCCTTGAACTCCTGATCTTCCTATCTCTACCTCTAAAGTCCTAGGATTGTAGACATGCATCAGCATACCTTGCTTCAGGCTGAACCTGAAAAAGGTTACAGTTTTCTTCTACTGGCCACCAGAGTTCCCCGGTGGTCTTAGGCCCAAGTTGGCCAGACCATGCCTTCTAGACTGCAGACATCCTTGGGCCCTCCCAGCTTCCACAGGCTCTTGGCTGCCTCTCGAGAGCACACCACAGTGCTTTAAGGAAGCTCCAGAGGATGCAGCAGCTCTTCCCCACCAAAGTGCAGCTGGGTCTAGTGGCTGAGGTGTCCTCCCACACTTGAGACCTGAGATTTGGCCTTTCAGGAATGACCTATTAGGCACTTGAAGACCCTTTAAGAGGCAGCTGTTATACAGGGATGCTGAGTCCAGTGGCCTCAGTGGCTTGGAACTTCCTGACTTAGGCAGGTCACAGGACATCTCCATGCCCCACTTAACTCCAGGGTGAAGTAGGGAAGAGCAATAGCATTGCCTAAGCCTGTGGGCATTTAATCATTTAATACACTAAAATCTTATGAAAGTGCATGAATGTACCACTGTATAGTTGATATTGACAAGATATTATTAATGTCCTTGTTAAGAGCCAAAGAGATTTTTTTTTCACAGAGAAAACAGCTTCCTTGACCAGAAAGATTTTGTTTGTTTGTTGTTGTTGTTTGAGGCAAGGACTCACTACGTAGACCAGGCTGGCCTCAATCTCACATAGGTCTGCCTGTCTCTGCCTCTGGAGTGCTTGGATTAAAGGTGTGTGCCACCATGCCTGGCTAAACAGAATCTCTTTATTTCACTCATAGATGAAAGACTTGCAGGAAGCTGTTGTCCTCCTCAGCTGTGAGGCAGGCTAAGGGGGCAGATGTCCAGCTGAAGCCTGCTGTGAGGTCCTGCCCTCACTTAACCCTCTCTGTATTTCAGCCCCTAGTTACCATCTGAAAACTGCTGGAGCCAGGTTGACTGAAAAGCTCACCTGGGGAGGACCCTTGACCTGCCATGACTTCCAGAGCCATCATCCTAAGGCCATTGAAGACCCTACACTGTACCTCTGCACAGATGTCAGAGGGTCCATATACCTCACATCCACATTCTAAGTGTCTCCACTGGCTGGGAAAAGTCTCCTTAGAGTGCTGACCAGTTTCATTTCAAATATATTACCTCACATGACATGTGGACCTCCCAGATACCCCAGAAACCTTCTATACTTCCTTTGTAGGTCCTTTTTCCCAAAGAACTTTTTTGCTTTCTGTCTTTATATACCCTTACACCTCAGTTTGTGATTTTGATTCATGAATCATTTAAAAAGGCAGGATTTGGCTCCTTTTTGGTGTGGAATGAGTCAGTGTTTTATTCTGTAGTCCAGGAAGACCCAGAACTCACTAGGTAGCCTAGGCTGGCCTTTTAAAACTTAGGGCAGAGTCTGAAGAGATGGCTCAGTGGTTAAGAACACTGGTTGTTCTTGTAGAAGACCTGGGTTCGAATCCCAGCACCCACATGGCAGCTAACAACTGCCTGTAACTCCAGTCCCAGGGGATTCGACGGCCTCTTCTGACCTCTGCGGGCATTGCACAACATGAGTGCACTTACCTACATGCAGGCAATACACGCATACACATAAAATAAAAATAATAAAATTTTTTAAAAAACTTAGGGCAATCCTCTTACCTCAGCCTTAATAAAAATTTTTTCTTTTCTTTTTTCCTTTTTTTTTTTTTTTTGATACAGGATCTCCCTGTAGCCCCAGCTGTCCTGGAACTTGCTATGTAGACAAGGCCGGCCTTGTCCTCACAGACATCCACCTACCTCTCCTCTCGAGTTCTGGGATTAAAGACGTGTGCCACCACGCCCAGCTATTTTATTTTTGAATTTTTAATTATTTTAATTTTAGTGTATCAGTGTATTGCCTGCATGTGTGTGAGTGCAGCCATGTCCTGCAGTGCCCGTGGAGGTCAGAAGCAGATGTTGGATTCCCCTGTAATTGGAGTAATGGACAGTTGTTAGCCGCTATGTGGGTGCTAGGAATTGAACCCGGGTCCTCTGTAAAAGCAGTCAGTGCCCTTAACCACTGAGCCATCTTTCCATCCCTGTGCTCATCTTTTTCTACACCACATTTCACTTGGTCCCACTGACACTGCTTTCCTGGTTCTTCTGCCACACTGGCTATTCTCTTTGTTTCCTTTCCTAGGTTAACTTTGACACTGACTTTTACATGTTGGAACATCCTGACTCACATCCCTTTCTCTTTTTTATTTTTTTTTAATTAAAAAAAATTTTTTTGAGACAGGGTCTCCCCTGGCCTGGAACTCTCCCAGCTGGCCTGGAACTCACTATGGAGACCAGGCTGGCCTCGAACTCACAGAGATTCACCTGCCTCTGCCTCCCGAGTGCTGGGATTAAAGGCGTACGCCACCACGCCTAGCCTTCCTTCTCTTTTTCATATATTTTCTACAAACTAATGACTCCCAGTTCATACCTTCATCCTGGACCTTTCTCTCAAGTGCCAGACTTGAGCACCAGCCCAATGACAACTCATTAGATAGTCAATAGGCCGCTCTGACTTTAGTCCAGTTCAACTCCTACTTTTCAGTTCTCTCCTGGCTCTCTACCAGGCTCCCAACTCTTCCATGGCATCACCATTCAAACAGTTACACCACCCCAAAACTTAATACTCCACTGACTGTCATGTCTAGAGCATCTCTTGCTTCTACTTTTATTTTGGTCTGTTTGAGACAGGGTCTCCCTGTAGCCCCAGCTAGCCTGGAACTCACTATGTAGACCAGGCTGGCCTCAAACTCACAGAGGTCCACCTGCCTCTGCCTCCCAACTGCTGGGATTAAAGGCACATGCCACCATCCCCAGGGTGTCTACTTTTTAAAAGATATATTTTATTTATTTTGTTTTGAGACAGGATCTCACTATGTAACCCTAGGCCTGGAACTCACTATGTAGACCAAGATGGCCTTGAATTCACAGAGATCTGTCTACTTCTGGGATTAAAAGTGTGCATCAACATGCCTGGCCAATTTATTTTATTTTTAATTATGTGTATACGTGTGTGTCTGTATAAGGTATGTGCATGTGTGATTGCAAGTGTCCACAGAATCCAGAAGGCATCAGATCCCCTGGGGCCAGAGCTGTAGGCAACTCTGAGCCGCTCAATGTGGGTGCTAGGAACTGAATTCTGATCTTCTACAAGGGCAGCGTGAGCTCTGTATTAGTTACTTTTCTGATGCGAAAAAATACTATGACCAAGGCAACTTATAGAAGGAAGAATTTATTTTGGCTTATGGTTCCTTAGGGAGCATCCATAATGGTGGGGGTGGCATGGCATTAGGCAGCTGGAACAGG